TGCAACAAAAAAATAGCTGGGCATTGTGGTGGGCACCTGTAGTCCCAGCTACTTGGGAGGCTGAGGCAAGAGAATTGCTTAAGCCTAAGAGTTGGAGGTTGCTGTGAGCTGTGATGCCACTGCACTCTACTGTGGGTAACATAGTAAGACTCTGTCTCAAAAAAATAAAAATAAATAAAATAAAATGCAGGGAGAGTATAGGAGAGGAGGTTGACTACCCTAGAGGCTGATGGTTTGGGCTTTAGAGGGCATGGTAAGGATTCTGGACTTACTAAATGTAATGGAAAGCCACTGGAGGGATTTAAACAGGAAAATAACCGGATGTTGACTTTGTGATGATCTCTCTGGCTGCTGATTAATAAATGGAATGTAGGGAGACAAAGTGGACGCAAGGAGGAGTCAGGAGGCACCTGTAGCAGTCCAGGTGAGACCTAAAGCTTCTCAGATTCCATAGCATAGAACAGATGCTGCATAGTGTCTCAGATATAGTGTCTCAAATGGGTGTTGAATTAGTTTGATCACTCTTTCAACAAATAGTTATAAGCACCTACCACATGCCAGATACTTTATCGCCCTCAGTAGAGTGCTGTGGTGTCACATAGCTCACAGCATGCCTGCCACAACGTCCGGCTATTTTTCTGTTGCAGTTTGACCAGGGCTGGGTTTGAACCTGCCACCCTCGGTATATGGGCCCGGTGCCCTACTCATTGAGCCACAGGCACTGCCCTGTCAGGTACTTTTTTAAATTGTTGCGATGTAGAAGTAAACAAAATGAACAACAAATAAAAAGTCCCTGTCCCCCCCTGGGGCTTACCTGATAGTTGAATAGGCACAGTAAGTAGAAAAATAAATACATAATGTAATGTCAAGTGATGGTAAGAACAACGAAGAAAAATAAGCAAAGTAGGGGACGGAGAGGTTTGGGAACCTTATTGTAGATAGGGAAGAAAGTGACATTTGAGCAAAGACCTAAGTGAAATGAATGAATGAAGCTTTCAAATAACCAGAATGGAAATGGAGTATCTTTTTGTGCCACACATCATTCTGCATTCCTTTACATATATTGCCTCATTTGTCACATAATTCCCGTAAAGTAGGTTTTTCCCCAGGTATGGAAATTTAGGCTCAGAGAGGGAAAGTAATACTAAATATTTTTGAACACACACAGCTTATGCTAAAGCTAGGACATAAACCCAAGTTTGGTTGATTCCAAGGGTTCATGATACGCCAGTGCTAACAGAAAGTATTAATCCCAACACTGAGGGTTCAGGAACTTTCCCCACTGAATTTTTTCCTGCCTTTTGGCTAGAAATTGGCCTCCTTATTCCATTGTGTTCTCAGTACTCCATGAGGCTGAATTAACACTATGCTTTGGAATTGTATGAATTGGGAGCAATATAACCTAATGTTTAAGAACCAGATAGACTGAGTTTAAGTCCAGAAACTGTTTGCTTGATAAGTTCATTGATTTGCTGAGTGAATTTTCCAAGAATATACATGTGCCAGGCTCTATGCTGGGAATGTACAATCCTGATGTTGCCTGTCATAGAGCTTACAGGCTGTATACAGTCTGTTTAAACTGCCTCCAGCTTACTTGTGAAACTTATTGTGACCCACAGTTGATAGATGAAAAGCCTGAATTTCAGAGAAATTCAGGGACTTGCCCAAGATCACATGGCCAGTAAGTAGTAGTCAGGATCTGAATTCTTAGAGTTTTTCTGTTACTTTTCTCCTGTATTATCAATATAGATAAGTAATTCTGCAAAGTGTTAAGTGTATAAGCCCTGGGAGCAACATTTATAAGTGTAAATAAGTAGCCAGCAGGTTTATTTTCTAGTTTTTGCTTTCCTGTCTATGCAACCTTGGACAAGTCACTTAACCTTCCTGAGCCTTGGTTTTCTCATACACCAGGTGAAGAGGCTGTTCTCAGTGGCCTTCCAGGTTCCTTCTGAAGCTTCAGAATTCTGTGGGTCTATGAATTTGTGCTGCTAAATGCTTATTGCTGATTTGGGTTCTTAGTTTGGCCCAGTTGTGTAGCATATTTATCTTTTTTTTATTATTTTATTTTATTTTATTTTGCAGTTTTTGGCTGGGGATGGGTTTGAACCTGCCACCTCCGGCATATGGGGCCAGCGCCCTACTCCTTTGAGCCACAGGTGCTGCCCTAGCATATTAATCTTTAAAAGATCTGGTTGACATAATGTGCACTGCTATAGCCCAGAGGAGTTAGCCATCACCTTTAGTGCATTGTATGTAAGTTTGAAGGATCAGTGAATTTAACTTCAATTTCCAAAGACATGAGGATCTGTTAGGTTATTTTTATATTATTTTATCTTAGTTAATGGCTATAATCTAAGAGAAAGTTGATGGACCAAAACCGTCTGCTCCTGCAAGCTTCATTTTTTATATATACTTTGTTCCCTTTGACAACGTGGTAGGGTCAGTGAGGCCCCTTACTAAATTATATGTTTGGTAGTTTTCCAGATAAAAAATGAATGATCTGTTCTTTATTATGGAGGCTGTGTCATGTGAGAGGATAAAGGTTGATTTAGAAGTAAGAGGACTGAGGTTTTTATTAGGTTTTGGCAGTGACTTCCATATAACTTTAGGCACATCGCCTCAGCCTTCTGGCGTCACTAGAAGGCTTATTGCCTTCTAGTTCCTTATTTGTAAAATAGGTGAAATAGTACATAATGGTAGGCAGATATTTGGCGAGCTAAATAGGAAAAATAAATTAAGTGGTATGATTTCCTTAAAGAAACTATATAAATATACAATACTAATATAATTTCAATACTTTTTCTACCTTTTTAAATTTCAGAATGTTATAAGGGTATGCATATTTTGGTTACATAATTTGCTTTTGTACATTTTAAAAATGTACAGAGTTATAAGTGTGCTCTTTACCCAGGATGTGCATTGTACCCATGAGGTGTGAATTTACCCAACCCCTCCTCTCCCTCCCACCTACTTGATTTCCGTTGAATTTTACTTCCATATGTGCACATAAATGTTGATTGACCAGTTCCAATTTAGTGTTAAGTACAAGTGATGTTTGTTTTTTCATTCTTGCAATACTTCTCTTAGAAGAGTGGTCTCTAGTTCCATCTAGGTTGTTACAGAAGATACTAGGTCACCATTTTTTTTTAATGGCGGAGTAATGCTCCATTGTATACATATACCACACGTAACAATGGGCACTTGGATTGTTTCCACATCTTCACTGTGAATTTTGCTGCTATAAAGATCCGAGTCTTTTTACAAAAGTGTCTTTTTTTCTTTCGGGTAAAAAGACTATCATGAGGGAGATGATCATATGGTAGTTCTACTTCAGTTCTTTGA